GTGAGACTAGTGAGAGTTAGATGTTTGACCTAGTCTCTTGGTCAATGACGGAGTGTTCGCATCTACTCTCGAGCAGATATTATCGTTAATAATAGGATGCCAGACCTGACCCACCTTAAGGGAATTTCCTAGACTTTTAGTCTATACTCTAAGTGTCCTTAATGCGACTATTGGTATAACGATCCTCAGACTTGAAGTATTACGTTCTTTGAATGTGTGAACCCGCATGCTTTGATTCATTGTCCTAAGCCGTATGAAATAAGGATGGTACACAGGCTTTGTATTGGGCATGCCGCTGCACATATTCGAAGACGTAGAGTACGTACAAAGAATTTTGTTGAAACACGGGCTTGTCACGTTTTTCGTACTAAAGTCGTGTTTGTTTTTATGACAGGTTTTGATAATGCCAAACCGCCATGATCAAGTCAAACTTTGAATATACAAGGCGAAGAACGAAGATAAGAACAAGAGCTAAACAAAGACCAAGAACGAAGACCTTAGTCTTAGTATCGTTGAGTCGGTCTTTATTGTGATCAAGACCGACCCAATCTTTACACCTTGGCTCTTTAGGCTAAAATCTTTCATTGCATTTCTTACATCATAAAAATGTTTTTCAAACTTGTTTAAGTCATTAAAAACACTTGGTGTTCACCCAAACCAAAAACCAAGCCATCCAGTGTTCAGCTTTCAGAAACCAGCATTCGACTTTCGGTTATCGGCATTGGTTTTTGGCATCCGAACCAACCAAGTGGTTTTCAGCATTTTATGATTGGTTTCCACTCTTTGGCATGTTTAAACGGTTCTCCAACAAAAACACTTTGAAAACCATTTTTCGCTTTTGGTCGTTTGACAAAAGCCATGCAAAACGGCGTAATGATGGCTTTTGGTCCATACTAGAAGTAGCTGTACCTATCTTCCACCCGCAAATGATGGCCAACATGCTCCATTTACTCCAGCAGATGGCAGGAGCTTACGTACCCCCACCGCCACCACCACCTTGGCGGTTGTTGTCTCGATAGAAAACCTGGAGAAAAACACACTCGAAGAGTTCCGAGGTGGCCAGATCGCTAAGCGCTGGCTCGAGCGCACTTTTCGGGTTCGCGGGAACTTGAGGGTCCCTATGGGGGAAAGAGGCAACTTACCAATAGCACTACTTCAGAACATTGAAAATATACCAAAATAGGAATTTCATGGTTTTATTCCTGAAATATATGTTAAAATGCTGATGGGAAATAATACGTGGCTCGACCCACATTTCCCAATTATTTACGAAAAATAATCAAATCAGGCATGTTTCGTAAAATGAAGAAATAAGAGAATATTCCTCCGAAAATGCTCCCCCTCCCTCCTATAAAAGGAGAGGTATTCCGTTAAGAAGGAGAGGCCATTTTCATTCCTTCTCCCTGCCCAATTCTCTCTCTCTAGAATATGTATAATATATATTTTCTTCTTCTTCAAGAGCTTAGAAGCTTTCCATCAATGGCTTCCGAGCCCAAATCATATACCGTGTACAACCCTCGATATTAATAAAAATCCCCCGTTGGGAAGGTACTGCTGAAAAAGACCTGTGGTTTTCTCCCGATTTAGGTTTCCACGTCAAAATTCATGTGTTTATATTTTGGTGTACTTTTTAGACTAGTTTATCATTTTTTCCTGGCTAAAAATGATATACCGGTCGATAATTTACACCATCATTTTGACGCTGACAGTGGAACCCGAGCTAAAAGTCATAATTTTTTCAGTGGCAATGCAAGGAGTGGGGATTTCAAGCCGAGTATAAAAAAAGCCAACTCAAGTTTTATTTTGCCCAATAAAAAAATAACTCTCACAATGGGTTATTTTGAAAAAAAATATTCCAATTTTTGTCTATTGGAGAAGGAAATTTCTCTCCCATTAAAAAAATCCAATCGCAAAGCCTTTTTGATGCAGCTATTGGATCCAGAGTCTCTTTTGTTGCTGGAGTCCATGCCAGAGTCCGTCAGGCCAAGATGTCGGCGCTGAAACAACCACCCATCCAGCAAACCTTGTAAACGGCCACTCGAGCGCGTGATGCCATTCCAAGAGCAGATCCGGAAGTAGACCCTAAAAGGCCGGCGTCGGGGATGAGATATCCGGTCGCCATGGACGCGGCATGGGCGCGTCGTCATCTCACGGAGAATTCGACTCTTTGGAGTCGTTAATTGGGCCCAGAGCTGCTTCGTAACCTTTGGAGAAATACCTGGCGCCGATGAGCTTTATATTACAGCTCGAAGCGTTGAAATTCTTACTGGATTTCTACTCTCCCTTCCACCAACTCGGAATAGGGCCAAGGCCAGATTCGTCAAAGCTCAGAATCCAGTGATTGCCAGAAAGACCACCATGGACGGTAACCCACTTGACGGAATTTTCTCTTGCAACGAGCTAAACGACATCAGATGTCCTCCCCACAATGGGCCCTCATAATTAAACGGCCGAACCCGCAGACGTTGAGGACTATAATCGCCTGAAGTTATGGTCCTCATGGTCGACAACTATCCGGTGCCTCATTAGTTCTATCTCCCTCCGCTGCACATCACCACTCATGTCTACGGTTGATCTGTGGTTTTTTAATTTCTGCCACCACCACCATTGGAGATCTTCCCGACATAGCTCAAATCATGTTGTTGTGCTGGGCAATCCTGACCAACTATTTCTAGCGTGGAAGTCCAACTATGGGTCACATATTTCTTCATCTGGAAAAATTCTGGATCATTAATCCATGGACTCTTCATCGCTGCTACTGTTGAAGTCCATACATGGCTCGCTCTGCAGTTGATGTTTGCCTTCACTGTGTTGCACCCATTCTGCTCCAACCTGGAAGTTTCAACCCTAAGGGGAGGAAAACAAATAAAGAAAAACAAATTAGAGAGAAGAGCATGTGGCGGACATAGTATAAAGCACCCACATGATTGATTGAGTTAATTTATTCAAATCTGGTGGAATCAATGGCCAAACATGGAGAAGGAGTTTGATTGATGACCCCACCACCACATGCAACAAGGAAAGAGCAATGATACTTTCATTAAATGGTTACCACATGTGGTGGCCACAAAGGAATAAGATTAGCTTCCCTGAAGATATAAGGGGCATGCACTATCCTTTACAGTGATAATCGAGGAATGGCCCACATGAAGATTTGAGGTCACATATTTACAATATTACTCCAAATTTATCATTTTATGTTCCCTATTGGCACAAGACTCACGATTATTTCTCGGTCGAACCAAAGTAATAACGAGTATGTGTCTGGTCAACCAGGTCCGGTAATTATTTGGAGAAAGACTGAGACACAGGCCCAGCCTGGCACGCTGGTTACTACACTGGTCTTGCTCAATGTGATTATGAAATAAAGGAAAGGAAGACTGAGACACAAGTCGAGATTGGTACGCTGGTTATGACCCCGATCTTGCTCAGTATTAAAAAAAAGAGGAAGACTGAGACACAAGCTCGGCCTGGCACGCTGGTACTACACCAGTCTTGCTCAGTATAATAAAAAAATATTAAAATATGTGACACAGGCTCGGCCTTGCACGCTGGTAAAAATCATTCTTGTGCATGAGATAGGCCAAGAATGATATACACACCGGTCTTGCACATATTTTCTCGTAAGTCTGAACCCAATCGAATTGGGTACACCAACCGGTGTCTCAACTGAGCCTTTATCGGGGACGCCCGATTCTTCAAGCCTTTTAAATAAGGCACTCCGAAAATGGTCTCTGCATGACATGAAGATATTTGCATCAGTTAGCCGGGCTAGCATCGATCTTCGACAAAGTTGCTGCAGCGTACTTAATTCGTATTAAGTAACATTGATCACTTCGATATACTAATTTTGGTATGCATCGTTTACTTAATCCGTAGTAACATCAGTCTCGACGAAATAACTACTTGAAGCACCGCCGCTTCATGGTACTAACTCTGGTGGTGTCATATAACTACTCGAATCATCGTTGCTTTATCGAACTGACATCGCTCTTGTTACGATAATTATTCGCGCGAAGTTTAATCACCCTAACACCGAGCTCCTCGGTAAAGATAATAATTATTTGAGCACGACATAGGCCGGTCAAAAAATAAAAATGTATTGTACGTATTATTTTTTGCAGAAAAAACATCTGATTCAAGAAATTAGAGAATTGATGAAGACTCGAAGGACTAACAATATCAACCAGTCAAGAATGGAAAGTAAGAAGACTGAAGATAGAACTCGGAGGACCTGTTTACTTTTTTAAGTTGATGATTCTCACAACTAAAAAAAGTGGAGGACTTCTTGATGGGAAATAATACGTGGCTCGGCCCACATTTCCCAATTATTTACGAAGAATAATCAAATCGAGCCTGTTTCATAAAATGAAGGAATAAGAGAATATTCCTCCAAAGATGCTCCCCCTCCCTCCTATAAAAGGAGAGGTATTCCATTAAAAAGGAGAGGCCATTTTCATTCCTTCTCCCTGCCCAATTCTCTCTCTCTCTAGAATATGTATAATATATATTTTCTTCTTCTTCAAGAGCTTAGAAGCTCTCCATCAATGGCTTCCGAGCCCAAATCATGTACCATGTACAACCCCCGATATTAATAAAAATCCCCCGTTTGCAAGGTACCGCCGAAAAAGACCCGTGGGTTTCTCCCAATTTGTGTTTCCACGTCAAAATTTCTGTTTTTATATTTTGGTGTATTTTTAGACTAGTTAATCGTTTTTGCTCGGCTAAAAACGATATACCGGTCGATAATTATACCATCAAATGTATTTACATTACCAATCATGACCATATATATTACCAAAAAGTATAGTAAAATGCTAATATGGAGTGACACATTACGACAATGTAAACTCATATTTAAGAAATAAAAACATGGAATTCAAATTTTGGTATTTTCTCTATGGTTTACTCGTATTTAAGGTATTATATTGTATATATCATTTAAAAAAAAGTCAATTTCTTTGATACTGACATTCGGTGTCAACGGATGACACTCACCCATTTGAAATATCTAAGCTACTCCGTTTGTCAAGTTGATGGTTTTCATCTCTTAACCACTTTTGTCAAGTTGATGGTTTTCATCTCTTAACCACCCGGAAAACCCGCTCACTCGTCTTTACCTGAACTAATTTCTCTATCCTAGCTAATTACACCCTTTAAATTGAATTAACTTTGGTGGTCAAAATTGTAGTGCCAACGGGAGTGTACCATTTAAAAAACATACTCCGTATTACTGTAAAATAAAAAATAGTTACAAAGACATGTTCGACTATGCAGGGCCCATGTCAAAGGAAAGTGATCTATGGGGGGAAGAAGATAGAGATCTCGGTAAGGATAATGTTATTTGTACTTCAAGAATTTGTACCTTATTTTGTACGTAGTATACCGCAAGATTGCACCAACATTTTGTGTTGATGTAATGCTAACTTTTGTTAACACACCAACACTTTGTGTCAATGTAAATTTTTGTTAACGCACCAATACTTTTTGTTAATATGAACGATCAAAATGTTGGTGCATACATTTGGTGTACAAATGGGGTACAAATTTTGGGGTACATTTAGCATGCTCTATCTTGGTAATGTTGGGAAATTGATTAATAATCAAAAGAAAAGAAAAAAATAAGGAAGAGGACAAAGAAGAAAAAGAAAATAAAAGAAAGGAACATGCATACGCACTAATGCATGTTGGAGGATGTGTTCTCTCTTGTCTCTTAGTGATGCATGATATGGATGCATGTGATGTGTGAAGATTTTTGGCTATAAAGGAGTTCACATTGCCTAGCTATGTGTGTGTGGGTTTTACACACCACCAAGGTAGAGAGAGAGAGAAACATGGGAGGAATTCTACACAAGAATACCACCGGGAAAATCCAAGGGGTCTTGGTGAGTGTGGGTGAGTGTAGGGAGTAACTGGTTTTAGTTACTCAAAGAAATACATCCGGGCATAGGATGTTGAAAGATTTGTTTATGAGTGTCTGGAATTTAGCCTTGTAAACAGGGAAGAGTTTTTTGTATATTGTCCTGAAATAGTGGAAATATAATTTTTTTCTCTCATATATTCTTCTTGTGTTTGTTCTCTCATTTTTCTGGTGTTCTCAATATTTTTCGGTATCTTACGCGCTTAAAATCCCAACAGGTAATGAAGTTGCGAATGATTTTAGATTCTTAGGTTATGATTTATCGTTTTGGTTCCTATGAAATTGAGATTCAATGACATGGGATGACCCGAGGTTTATACGATACTTCTTTCGAAAAATTAATGATTTCTACCCCCTTACCCCCGGTAAACCCCCCACCCCTGGCTTGACCCGAACATACCCCTCACCCCCATCAATTAAATGCCACAAGAATTGGTTGACTTTGAAGACTAATTTTGACTCCAAAGTCAACTAAATCTTGTGGCATGCAATTGACGGGGTGCGGTTTATGTTAGGAGGGTCGTGCCGGAGGTGAAAGTTTACGAGGAAAGTTAGCTAGTTAGAAACTATCAATTTTTCGAACCGAATATGGTAGATGCTCTAATCTGAGCCCCATGGAGGGCTCATGTCACCCGAACCGCCTCCATGATTTATATGAGGATAAAATGATAATTTTATTTTAATTGAATGCTTCTCATGGTTACTATAGTAACTTTCTCTCCAATTGGAGTGGAAAAAAGGGGAGGGAAAATAAAGATCCTCAAATATTTCTTGGCCAGAAAGGTATTCAAGGCAGTCGGAGTAGAATCTCTACACCATTGGTGGGATTTGATATCTAGGAGTCATTGTCTTCCTCGTAGTCTGTAACATGGATGGAATTTCAAATGTTGGTTCCCCAATTTGCTTGGAAATTCTTTAGAAGTTTCACTCATCTGCATATCCATGTCACCCAAACACCCGGCTCTACTCCGATTCTGCATGCCATTTTCATCGAAAGCCAAATGGAATTCAAATCAAGAACTGAGCTCAAAGATCTCTCATCCTACTCTACTTCTCATCGAGTCCTGCAATTCCATGTCCCAGCTCAAGCAAATCCAGGCCAATATGACAAGGACTGGCCTCATATTTCACACCTTCCCCGTCAGCAGACTCCTTTCCTTCTGCGCTTTGGATGATTGTGGAGATGTACATTACGCAAGGTTGCTCTTTTCACAGATTTCAGAACCCAATGTGTATATCTGGAATACCATCATTAGGGGTTACGTTAAGGCTGAGCTTAGAGAAATGGGATTGTCCATTTTCAGTGGAATGATTAGGGAAAATATAGAAATGGATGAAAGAAGCTACGTTTTTGCGCTGAAAGGTTGCAGGTTTTTAGGAGGGTTTTGTGTGGGGGAGTCGGTGCATTGTAGGATTAGGAAGCTCGGCTTTTGTGAATATTTGGTCGTGAAGAATTGTTTGATTCATTTTTATGGCGAGAGTGGAAGGATGCTTTGTGCGAAGAAGGTGTTTGATGAAAGTTCTGTGAGGGATGTGGTGTCCTGGACTTCATTAATGGATGGGTATGTGAAAAAGAGTATGGCTGGTGAGGCATTGGCATTATTTCGTACAATGTGTTGCAGTGGGGTTGAGCCGACCGAGGTTACAATGATAGCAGTGTTCTCTGCATGTGCGCAGAAGGGGGACTTGAAGTTAGGGAAGTACTTTCATGCTTTTATGGAGAAGAGAGGTATGAAATGCCGTGGTCTGAATTTGCTGAATGTGATACTGGACATGTATGTAAAGTGTGGTTGTTTGCCTATGGCTAAAGAGCTGTTTGGGAAGATGGAAGAAAAAGATGTTTTTTCATGGACAACTATGATAAACGGGCATGCCAGGTATGGGGAAGTGGACCTAGCAAGGAGGTATTTCACTGACATGCCCCGTAGAAGTGTTGTGTCATGGAATGCGATGATTGCGTGCTATTCACAGAACAACAGACCTGGGGAGGCCTTGGAGCTTTTTCATGAAATGGAGAGAGAAGGTGTGGTGCCCATGGAGAGCACTTTGGTGTGTGTGCTCTCTGCTTCTGCTCAATCAGGCTCCTTGAATATAGGCAAACGGGTTCACGATTACTATGTTAAGCAAAGGAGGATTCAGTGCAGTGTAATTCTGGTGAATGCGCTAATTGATATGTATGCAAAATGTGGGAACATTGATGCCGCTGAGGAACTCTTCACTGCAATGACCCAAAGAGATTTGGTGTCCTGGAATTCATTGATAGTCGGTTGTGCTTCTCACGGGCTTGCTGAGAGGGCACTCTCTCTTTTTGACCAAATGATGACTTTAGAGTTTGTTCCGGATGAGATCACATACGTAGGGGTTCTCTCGGCATGCGCTCATGGGGGATTGGTGAACGAAGGCTGGGGGCATTTCAGGAACATGAGAAAATTCGGGTTAATGCCAGTAAAAGAGCATTATGCATGCCTGGTTGATTTGCTGAGCAGAGTTGGGCGACTCGGGGATGCATACGAGGTTATAAGAACAATGCCTATGGAAGCAGATGCAGCTGTTTGGGGTTCCCTTCTCAATGGTTGCAGAATGCATGGGAGTGTTGAGTTAGGAAGACTCTCCGGTCTAAAGCTCTTAGCTTTGGACCCTGAAGACAGTGGCATCTACATGCTTCTTGCAAGTCTATTTGCAAACGAGCGAAAATGGGTTGATGTGAGCGAGTTCAGAAGCATGATGAGAAGTAAAGGGGTCAAGAAGAACCCGGGGTGTAGCTCAATAGAAGTGGAGGGAAGGTTTCATGAGTTTGTTGCTTCAGATAGGTCACACCCTCAATCCAAAGTTATACGTAAGGTGCTTGATGAGATTTTCTTCGTGTCGAAATTGGAAGACCAACACCATACACTGCAAATGTAATTCATGACAACAGCCTGTTTGCCTAGTCCATGCAATGTCCCATGATTTTGTCCTTAGTCTAGTAACTTTGCTGATTAGTTCTGCCAAGAGGATAAATTATGTGTATACCTAGGGTGTCGGTCTATGAAACCGTAGAGGCAGTTAAACATCTGTGGTGCAGAACGCGGAAACAAACCAACTGTAATATGTATGTGCGATAAATGTATTAAATTTGGTTTATGAAGTGTTTCTCGGGTGAGAACTGAAACTATTCTTAGCCAATTAATATACAAAAAATGGTAGGATATAATCAGTTTTTTTAGCAAAAATGTGGTGGCATAAATGTATATACGGAATGTTTTTTAATAAATGAAAGTCAATGACAAAAAGTGCATTGTTTGATAGGTAACATAACATATACAGTTCAAAAGTGCATCATATTTGACTTAAAACGTACAGAGATGAGAATGCTATATATGATCGCCGCTTTGTAAATGCACCCAAGATTGTCTTTATCCTACCATCTTTGTGGTTATCTGTTCTCTACATGACAACAAATTCTAATTAAGATAGTAGTCATTGACAAATTTGACATCCAGCTGGCTGGCTAGTTTACTCAGAACCCTTTGATTTACTCTGATAAACTTAAACAAGTAATACCACATAATAATATCTGCATGGAAACAAAAAGCTACTGCACAGTAAGTATAGTTAGATATGTTGATCTACATGCCTAGCAGTTCACAGAATCACAGTAGCGAGTTAACCAGCGGTAATAGCACAAAAACTACTCATTAGAATATGCTTGCCCGTTTTTTAATCTCCAACTCAATCCTATCTATAGTGGATAGACTATATATAATTACTAAACACAAAAAAAGCTAGACCAGTTTGATCCCTCTCGAAAGCATTAGTAGTTTTGCAATTCCTTGCAAAGAGCTGCTAGTAGCGTTCTCATAACATGTCTCACCGGGACGCAAGCAACTCCTTTGGATGTCCCATCTTTCAGGGCTTTCTGTATTGTGGTGTGCGGGTTATATATGATACCATGGTAGACTTTTCTTGAACGTGGCTGCTTTATGCCTGAATTCAGAGGAACTCCCTCTGTTCCTGAGAAATCACCATTTGGAGCCGAGCAAGTCATGCCTCCAAAACTTGAGTCACAAGCTTGAGTCATTTTTCTGATCTCACGAGTGGAAGGCAATGGAGGTGAATACATGACAGGAGTCCTTTTACAAGTCTTCCAAACCAGGTGATACGATTTCTTGCCCGTTGTAGCTCTAGTGCCCTTAAGAACCTCTATGTTAACTGGATGCCCTATGATCGCCTTCTCATTTAATCTGCTCATCATGCAGACAAGGGGAACATCCACTCCCCGGCAGCTTGGTAGAAATTTAATCTGCGCATCGAACAAAGTTTCCATGTCATTGCTGGGAAACACTGAAGCACAGACAGACATTGCTTTAACTCCCTTGTAGTCAAAGACACAATTCGCATCATCATATAGCCCAGCAACTCCCTGACAAAGCTCTTGGACACTCCGTTTTCTTTGATGTTTGGGTTTTTGAGGTATAGCAGGAGCAGCTGTCTTCTGAACAGTAGAGGACTCTGAGGAGTAACTGGTTACACCTTCACTCGTTTCATTATTGTTTTCATGTCGGCTCACAAGGGTACCTGGTGGTATTATCCAGATAACACAGTAACATCAAAATAAGCATCTCATTTGGAATAAAATTCACCCAAAATACTTTTGCATTATTGGGTACAATGAAGATTGAAGGTAATACAAGCACATGGCAATTAGTATTTAGTACAACACAGGTAATAAGCAGAATGGTAAAATCATTTTCCACTGCAATCTTGAAGCATACATTTTGATTACATTCTTTCATCATTTTTCTATACAACTGGGCTATTCAAGTTAGGAAGAAACATTAACCTGAGGGCTTTCCCATTTTCACATCATTAACGCTCTCAGATAAATCTGATTCCATTGGTTCCGAGGTATTTGCGGTGGTATCTTGCAAACGTTTTGGGGATTCCCTTAAGGAACGAGACTCAACAGAATTGTTCAAACAATCTGCCGATTCAACAGTGAAGTAGCCGTGCTTTCTTATCTTTTCCCTGGAACAAGTTTCTACCTGCATCTCACTCCCTGCAAATCAAAAAGCAATATAGATAAAAAAATCGCATATCTTGATTTTGATTAAAAATGTAGAAATATCTTTGAAATGCAACTCAATACTCTTGTTGAAGCACAAAATATACTACCTGGCCTTTTAAGTTGTTTGTTTTGCACCAACTGCCTCTCAAGATCAAGAGCAAGAAGAATAGCATTTTTACGATGCACGTACTTCAGACTTTCGGTTGAAGCAAATTCTTCGGACAATTTAGCCTTTCTAATGCAATCATCAAATTCACCGCAACGAAAGGCTTTTACGCGCCTCGAACTCTCCAGATTGTAGCAGTCCCTGAAATATTAGTTGGTTCACAGGCACATCAAGGTTTCATTCAATGTATATATTACACTCCCAAACACGCTCAAAAGAAACATTATCATCATCACCAACCAAACCTAAAACCTTAAATTCCAATTTCGTTGGGGTTGGCTACAAAAGAAGACAAATAAAAGTAAACAAATAAAGATTGTTCTTTTAAAAAAAAATTTAAGAGAAAAATTGGGTGGTGGGGGGAAAAGAAGGGGAAAAGGCGGCTCACATGGTGACAGTATCTTGGCCGAGGAGCTGGATTTGAAACCGGTGGTCGGGAAATGACGTCATGTCGCCGGGACCCAAAACCCTTCCCGGCCACCAAACCCCATTGCCTATGCAGGCCCACACTAGGCTTCCCACTCGAACTTCTCCACCTTTTTCGCCAACTGCTGCGCCCATTTCTCTTGCTCTTTCAGATACGGCGGAAAAGATGTCATGGGGTTTCTACCTGGAGGGTTTGGGTAGGGCAAGGACGAGGGAAAAAGGCCTCCCAATGCCGCATGGCTGCCTGTTTTTCGGATATACGAAAATGAAGTGTTCTGTCTTTTACTTGTTTTGTTGTTTTTTGAGAGCGATTTCAAAATCTGGCTTTGTTGGTGTCCCAATAACCCGAACAGCTGGCTTTTCGTCATGCACAAGTTGGTCAAATTCCATGTTCAGACAATTTCTAAGATGTTGGACCGCGACCCAGAGAACTATAGGATATCTTTAGGAGAAAATCCCTTCAAATCTTGTAGAACCAGCACACCGAATAGGGGTGTTCATCGGGTCAAACCCGGACCGGACCGGACCGGGCCGGGACCGGACCGGGACCGAATAAGGAGCATTTTGTGGACCGAGGACCGGACCGATTAAGCTAAGGACCGGACCGGACCGGGACCGGACCGAATAAAGGTTATTTTTATTTTTTTAAAAATTTGATTTTATTTATTTAATTTTAAGTATTCAATTGAATAAAAATATAACTACAACTATTTTTTAATTATAACATGCACTAAACATAGTCATACATAGTTGTTTTGAATTTTTTTTAAAGAACTTCAAACAAAATACTCCGTATATAACTTCCGTATTACATAAAATTTGTTCGTAATTTTTATTTTACATACATAATATTCTTCTTCTTAGTTCTTTTTTGTTTTTTTTTGTAATATTTTTTGAGTTTTTGATTTATTTTGACAAACGGATCCATTTTTTAGTATTTTGTTCCTGAGATTGTTCACATTGTTAGTTTTTGCGGATTAGCTTTTCATTATTGATAAAATATAAATTTAAGTGATCGTATTGGTAAATATATGAGAAATGCATTAGATCGCTAATATAAAGGTAATGTTACTTTTTTACACTTTTATATTAAAAATATTTCAAAATCATTATAACTCATACTCCGTATATTATTTTGAATTGATAATGTATTTNAATCAAAACATATAAAAATCTTTAGTATTAAAGTTAAATTAATTTTAAGTATAAGAAAAAACCTTAGAAAAATATAATATTTTTAAAGTATATTGAAAAAAAAAATAAATAAATAAATTTTAACCGGTCCACCGGTCCGGACCGAAACCCGGTGGACCGGACCGGATCGGACCGGAACCCGAATAAGGAAAAATTGGGGACCGAAGACCGGACCGAATTAGGACCGGTCCGGTCCGGTTTTGGCCGGGTTTCGGGTCGGTCCGGGTCCGGACCGAATAATGCACACCCCTAACACCGAATGACCCGGGCTGGCACTCAGTGGGTTTGGATTAAAAGCCCAAAAACCGTTTACTTTTACTTAAAAAAATTTAACTTTTAGCACGCAAAGTATAAGTTCTAACCAATTAAGGCTTTGTTTGGTAACAGCGTTTTCAATTAACGTAAGTGTTTTGGATAAAATTTTAACGGTGCAGATTAATTCTGAAAACGCTAACGCTAAAGGCTATCGTCAGATAGCTTTTTCAAAACTCTAACGCTAATCTCTGACGCGGATGTCAAACAGGGCCTAAGTGTTCGTATACATGGTTGCATACATTCAAAAATTTCTTCCAATTATTTAGAAAAGATAAAAATGTTTGTGTAAAAATATTTATTTCATGAACTTCAAACATAGATCAAAGGAAAAATCATTATTTATTTATTCTTCATTTATATCATTCTATATTATATAAATGTAAAAGAGTGTTAGCACCTTTTCTATCCACAAAACAGGTATTATTAGCTTTAAAACTTGTATCATGCAATTTCTACCCCAAAAAACTCCTAACACCGTTAGTTATGTTTAATCTCTTCATTCTCTTATTCAGAATTACGGAAATGCTTGCTAGCATATATGCCACAATTACAGAGTATTATTATTATCATTAGGGAGAATTATTCATAATCATCCCAATTTCACTTGGTCTTTCAAAAATAATCTCATATTTTACTGTGATGCATAGTAATCACAGCTCTACTATGCATCGTACAATGGACATGTGTATGCTGAACTGTGCGAATAATAAATTATTGCAGTGCACTATGTGAATATTATCATTCCAAAGTCTAGATTTTGAATGATTACACTAAGAATTACTTTGTATACCATAACAAGAGATAAAAAGACTATAAAAGAAACTGTACATGCACTTTAGTGATAGATTTGTGTGATATCCTACGCCAAAAATGTAAAGAAAAAATTGTTAAAATATTGGCATCATTTATAATAAGTATTGCACATAATCTTGAACATGTTACATACCGTTCAGAACTAATGCACCATAATGAAAAGTAAATCTTCAAAATGTAGAGATAACATCTAAAAAAAAGTAAATTTTCAAAAAAAAGTAATTGTTCATTTAACCACATAGATACATATTTGTTTGATGTTAGTCTTTGACTAATAAAATATATTTCTTTAATTTCAATAGCAAAAAGTGCTAATGAGGGATTCGAACCTACATCTCTATGCAAATGCATACCGCTCTACCATTTGAGCTAATTGGCAATGATTTTTAAACCATATATTTATATATGTAATGCAAAATCTTTATAAAACATTGAATATCTTATATAATGCACTAAAACAATATGCCACGGGGATTAAAAATTATAGAATAAATATTGTAACACCCGCCTTCCGTGGACCCGGTTCACCCGCGACCCGACAGACCGGCAGGGTTACAAGGACCGTGCGAGAACCGTCCGTTACAAAAACATTAATGATTATCTAATAAGAAAACGGTTGTGTTTTAATTAGGGAATAAATGCCAAGGAGTTACTCCCAAAGCATGTGTAGCAAATGTGCAGAGTAAATGCGGAAGTAAATAAATAAGTCGAGTCTAAATCAAATAATGACAAGGGTGGGTTCATGCCCAATTGATTAATGAAGTTATTGAAAGTAATTAAGAGTTCGTCCGTGTGCCGCCCATCTCCCCATCGTCACCGCTCTCCAGGGTTGGCACCTGCTCCGTCATGTCTACCTGCGTGTAGCAAAAACAACTACACGCTCAGCAAAAGATGAGGATTGAATCTAACAAAAGAACATGAAGTGATAACCCATATGGCTATACCCATATCAATACCTGTACTTAACGTACGGGAAACCACACGTTACTAACTGTTTAGTTTTCACCTGGTAAAGCTATTTCGAATAACAAGGAACATAATGATGATGATATGACTTGATGCATGACTTAAACTATCAGGGACACCCCTGGCTTAGTCTCACTCGACAGGATCACCCCTGCCCTCCGGTCATCATCCCCGAACGGTAACTAGCCGGGCACGACGAAAATATCGCGAGTGGACTAGCAAAACCGGGTAGTAGCCGTAACCTAACTACTATGTACGTACACAAGCCCAACATGATGAAAACCCGTTGGTCCCCAAAGGTTCCTGGACGGGCCCACTGTAGTAGGCGCACGAAGTCCTCCCTACAGCGGTATGCACATGATGAAAACCTAGAACATTCGTCTAGAATGAACATGATGGAATGAATGCATTGATTAAAGAAGAGAGTTAAATTCAATTCATACATATGTGTTTGATTACGATTTGTTCAACATGATGGCCCTAGGTTCAGAACTGGCTGATAATCGATTGCCTGCTGTTGATAATCGATTATCATGATGTGCAGCTTCTGTCCCCAAAGTCCTGCAGACTGTGATAATTGATTGTCACCCTATGACAATCGATTGTCAAGTTGGTTTATCTGGAAAGTCCTAAGTTCAGAGAGACCTGATAATCGATTATTGCCTGTGTGATAATCGATTATCAGTGAAGCCAACTCAGACCCAGGAATCCGCAGGGCTGAGAGTCGATTATCGCATATGTGATAATCGATTATCACGCTGTGCTGAATCAACTAAGGAGTCCAGCATGGCCTGACAGTCGATTGTACTATTCTGTAGCTCGATTATCAAGACACGCTGACTTCCATTATATATGTTTGTTTGTTATCAAAACGTTGGAAGTTTTAGAAATGAATGTTTATATTTCCATGCTAGATAGTCGATAGACTTACAAGGTTTCAAAACATTTATATTAACGAGCACTTAACTTGATAACATGGACACACGTATGTTGGATGGTTAACCTACGAACATGCATAGATTCTACGCAGGTTGCGTACGATATTCCTACGAATATAACGACATAGATTATAACTAAATGTTCTAGCATTAGAGGGACGACTACTCACCTCTAAACGAAGGGACTGATGGAATGAGATGAACGAATGGCGCCAACAAACGGACGAGCGACGACTATTCGCACGAACGCCCTAACTCTTCTTTCCTTCCTTCTCCCTCAACCGTGCACCCAACGGAGCTTCGCCAGAGACCTCCCTGGCTGCTGTTGCCTTGCCGAAAGTAAGAGAGAGAGAGAGTGAGGATTGTGAATTCTTGGGGGTTACAAAATGTGAGGTGATGGAAGGGGAAATGATGGAGTTTTAATGGTGGATTATGGAGCCTAATGAATGAGAGTAATGGTGGTGTTGAGGGGGCCGAACTAAGGGTTTAGGGGAGTTACAAAATTTATTTACTTCGTAATGTAGAATCTGACCTGAACGGTACACGCTTTTCCCCCCGAGCGGGTCTGAATTGAGATCCGGTTGCGTTTCTGGAATCAGACAATCAAAACGAATTTAATGATATGATCAAATAATTTTTCTAAGAACTTTTAATTTCCCCCAACTCCGGTCCGAAACAGTAATTAATTAATTAAATTAATCAATTCTATTAGACCGGGTTACAGGGCATTACAAATATAAGGAATAATTGAAGATGAAAGAAAATAAAAATTTATAGACATATCACCTAAATGCATTAGATATAGGAGAGGTGTGCAATACCTGGGATACAAAATGCTATGTGTAATAAAATAAAATGTTAAAATCTAGCATTACACCAAACTCGACCAAGACAAAGTGGGACTCAAAAAGAGGTGTTATTTAAGCTCTAGAGACCACCTGCTAAAACAATGGGAAACTAATCCTTTTTCCATATACCTTGCAATAAGAGAAACTGCTACAGATTCATTAAACTTTGATAATAATGCAACATCTCACGGTGCATTTTGAAATCTCTGTGATGCATGTTTTAGCCCGGATTCTGCATTCTACGAAGTGAAATCTGAAGCAAAATCTATGTGATGCATGTTTTAGCCATTTACATATATTTACTAAAAATTGAAATCTGAAATGAAAAGCAAATTGGCTCTCTACAAAAAAATCGAAAATATATATACAATCACCAGAATCAACAACTGACATATATTTATTAACAAAAAAAGTTATGGTAAATTGAAAATAGAAGTTGAAAATCAATTTAAATATCGTAAAAAAAAGTAAAAATTTTATATTTACCAAAATCAACATTGCACCAGAAAGTGAATTAGGGATTAACATTTATTTATTAAAAAAATATTATTATAAATAACAAACTAAAATTGAAAAGCAAACCTTGACGCATAGATTTGGAGATGGACTCTAATTCATCCTAGCATATGTATTAACTCTTGATGTGGACTCTTATAAAAGTACTAAAATTGAAAAATCCATTTGAATCTGCAGAAGAGGCTGAATATTGGTGACCAGATCTAATTCGCTAACGAAAATGTGAAGTGCCGCAATTTTGGGTTTGAGAGCTCATTGATTGGAGAGAGAAATGAAATAATAGCAAAATACAAATTTGCCCTCGGCACTTAATGATGATATGCAATTAGGAGTGCTGAATCGGACGCGTGAGATTCATTCTTATTTCTTTCATAAGATTGTATTCTCACTGGAACCAAACTACACACACACACACACACTAGCTTGAGACGCACGTTGCACGTGTGGTGCCCATGATATTGTTTACAAGAGTGACATAGCAATTTGTATTATCTAAGATTTACATATGGCTAATGTTTAGAACTTTTTATTCAAATGATATACATATGGTGCAATTTTTTGTACCTATTCAAAATGACAAAAAGTAGTATAAAAGCACCATTGGGTGGTTAAGTTGTCCCCATGATCCTTTCTTAGCGGAAGCTATAGCGTGTTGGGAGGCGTTTTCTTAGCTTAAGAAGAAGGGCATTCGTGATGTTGGGGTGTGTTCTGATTGCTTGCGTGTTGTGGAAGCCCTTCAGGTGGAGTTTTACTTCTTATTTTGGTTTGATCATTAATAGGTGTCGCCCTCTTGTGTCTCTTCTTGGTTCTATTTCTTTTTTTTGTTTGTCTTTCTTCTAATGCTCTTGCTCACTCGTTATCACGGCGTGTTGATACAGTTATTGGTTGTTGGGTGCTTGTGCCTCCAGATTTTGTTGCTACTCTTCTTAACATTAAATAAAGCTTTGTTTTTTCCTTCAAAAAAAACCTTATCTTTATACAAAGTATAAATTTTGTGCTTACAAAGTTTTTTCTTCTCCTCAAAGTTAGCCTTCCTATTCTGTAGTTACAAATGGGCTGAGTATCAACAGAAGTTCATAAGCCACATACAAAAACTTCTTTGCACTTACGGAGTATTAAACAATCCTTAAGGTTGTAGCTAAATAGCATATATAAAACAATTCTATACAAAATTGTAAGTATAAAATTCTACCCCTAGATCTCAACAGGTTAAAAAATACTACTCTATACTTAATATCAACCGTAACCATTCATTCTTTTTTCTTTAAAGATTGGAATTAAGAAGAGTATCTTATGGGAGTCCTAAATACCCATAGTTTATATCTTAGCATTAATACAACAACAACAACACAGTAGAATCTCGGTTTGGGGGATGGTATGTGTACGCAGGTCATACCCCTACTAAAAGTAGAGAGACAGCTTAGCACTAATAGTTAGGGTCAAAACAGAGATTTTAAAAATGTTTTACAATTTCATTATCACAAATCCATTAGAAACAACAACCCTCAAGTATGAAACCATTAGAAGAGGACAAAACTACCGCAAAGCCAGAAAATAAGAAATATCATCTTCAATTTAAAATGCAAATTCAAAACACACTGCAACCAAGAGACTAACTGTCCGGACAATGTATTTCAACATCAAAGATTTAGATTTCTATTTTTTTAGTGTTTGATTCGTTTTGCAAGCAAATCAAAAAATAAGTCTCGATGAAATCAAGTGATTTCATATGAATATATGGTCCCCGCCTAAGGTTCCATTTTCAATTGATAAATTTAGACAAATCATCATAAGCTGATTTGCTTTGTTATAGTACATCTGAAACCCCAACAGCATTGATTAAAACTACCAAAGTCAAAAAGGACAAAAGCAAAAGAAAATATCCAACACTAATTTGAATTCCAATTTCTGAAACTTAGCTTAGAAGATAGTTTTCTATCTTTATACCACTAACAAGAGTAAGCAAATCCATTTAAGTTATTTTCTAGTTTAATTGCTACAATTGTTAATTAACTACAGACAAAGTAATGAAATAAGAGTGCTTCTTTGGTGCACCTTGGGTGCATATCAATTTTGTAAACCTTCTCACATAAAACAATATTTTTTTATTTATTTAAAAAACAAATACTTATTTAAATAGTAAAGAAATACTTATTTTGTTCATATGTAGGTCCATGGTGGACCTTAGGTCTACCATAGAATTTTCCATGAAATAAACACAATAAATGGGGGAATGCATTAAACACACTAAAAATGAAACAACAAAATAAAGGAACATGAAAGGGTTTGATGAGTACCAGTTCTTTCTAACAAATGAAACCATTGTCTATTGTCATTTTCGTAAACCTGGAAAAATGGTCAAAAATTAGAAGCCCAGGCCAATATTTCAGCAAGAGTCATCGAAATTCATGCTTAGAAATCAAACAAACTGTAAAACAATGGATCCCATCTTAGTTAGTACTCCATAGTAATTACATGTCAAGGGGCTGAATATGAGGGGAGAGATAATGTTACCAAATGAACTTAAGCCTGAAATGCAGTCTTGGGCAGTTCCCTACAAGTACAATTTTGGCTTTTAATCATCGTGTAAAAATAATACAGTCTATATACAAAACACAGTGTACAGTCGTACACATGGATTGATAGATGTATGATTTTACCTGCGTGCTCATTCCTTCCAACACGTTTAGAAACAATGGTTTATAGTTGCATGCATGATGACTTTACCTACTTTGATCACTCCTTAGAAGACGTCTACAGATGTCTATGATCGAAGTGCCACTCTGATATACAGAAGATGATATCTTACTCCCAAAGTTCCCTAAAATAGGTATCAACAAGCCCTAAGTATTACTCGGGTATAACATATGTTGAAGCAAACCCCTTTTATCGGGTGATCTTGCTCACTGTCCCAACTTCAAGGTTTGGGTCATAGCTTCTAGTTTTGACTGTTCTTGGTGCATTTGGCCTCTTCACCGCTTTTTTGCTATGCCTATTTTGGACTTCCTCTCTTTGATGTGATGTCTCCCCTTCTTCATTGTAGGACCTGATTTTATATTGTTGTCCTTTAATGTCAAACATGTGTAGAACTGGTCCAATTGTAGCCGGGTCAATACCTGCAGTGTTTGTTGAAAGGGGAGGAAAGTTTTTGTTGCCAATAGGATCAGAAATAAGCTCATCATTTCCTATATTTGAAGGACTCAATGTGCCATCCATCTCTTTCTCAAGAGAAAGAGTGTGTGCATCACTGGTGGCTTCTACTGATTCTCTAGAGAGGACTAGAAATTCATTTAGATTGATTAAAGTTTCTGTTGGGCCAGAACTGTGTTCTTCTTTACTGTTTGTAACATGACACTGTGTGCCATCCAATGCTGTCTCAAAAGATGGATTGTGTGCCTCACAGCATTGCAGTTTATTGTCAATTAAGAATGAGGTGGTTTCCAGAGTAGGGGCATCATTTAGGGCATTGGCAGGGGTTGGGTTAATCTCCTAGGACAGTGGTATCAACTGTTTTGGCGACTTTCTCAGCCTCACCAGGAGTATCAGTAGAAACAACATTAAGAATTGGGGCACAATCATTAGAAACAGGAGAATCATGAGCTATAGCATCTGTTCCATTAGCTGGAGCTAATGTGATTGCCATGGATTTATCTGGGGCCATTATTTGAATATAACCAATGTCAGTTTGATTATCAACTGAAGTAGTGGCTTTCGTAGAAACAATTCGAGGAGAAGGATCTATTGAAAGTGATTCTATAATAGGGCGTGGTTCAGTAACAAATGTATTGATTGGCCCATGATGTTTTGGCTAAATGATAGTGATCTCTTCTTCTTCATCAATTGAGGCAGCTTGGTTTGGTTGCAAAACACTCTCAATCCTCTCTTGGTTTGTTAGGGTCACAGCTGGTTTAGGAGCTACAGCAAGGGATGTATTCCCAGTCCCAAATGTGTCTTTCACTTCAGGTTTAACCCATTTAGAGGACTTTGATTTGGTTTTGCAGTTTTTGTGGCCAAAACATTTACAGGAGGGACAGTATTCTGGAAGATCTTCATAGGTGATTGGCTGGTGGAAAGTAAGTTGGCCCAAGTGGATCCAGACACAATGAGGTAGCTCTTTGCTGATATCAACCTCGACAGAGATTCGCGCTACAGAAGGCCTAACAAGGCTTGCTGTTGCTGAATCAGTTTTTAAAGGCTTACCAAGCAAATTCCCAATGGAATACTGTAACACCCCAATCCGTATAACCCGAAATTACACGAATTAAGGTGAAACGAGGGTTAAATAAAAAATTTTCTTGACATTTGAAAATGACAATTACTTATAAATATTAAATTTACAGACTCTGGATCGCGACCCGTTTAAAAATATTTTTAGAGTAATGCGGAAGTACAATAATAATTAAATCATGACACATTTAAAATCTTTGATGATCAAACATTTGCGTGCCATCCTTGCATCTCCTCTGACTCAATGCCCTCCGGGAGTGGTTCCGTCATTGTCTTCTTGTTACCTACGTGTAGTCAACGAAAAATACAAACTACACGCTTAGCGAAACTGCTGAGTGGTACCACGCTAGAATTGTAGAATAATTAACAGACATATACATATACATATATATACGTCCACAAGGTGTATAATAATATTCATGATATGGCACATTATATCATATGATCAATTTGATGATTCATGATGATAAATATTTATTGATAATTAAATGATGGCACATTTAATCAATTTGCTTGTTCGTGAGGATGATTACATGACACCTATGTAATAGATATAATTGTTCTTGATGATGATTACATGAAACCTATGTAATCAATATATTTGTTCTTGATGATGATTACATGACACCTATGTAATCAATGTACTTGATGATGATGACATGATGCATGATTCTAAGTCAACAAGGACGACCCTTGCATTGTGAAATTCGCCCATTTGGTACGACGAACTCAGCGGCCTTAGTCTCACAAGGGAGACTAGAAAAATTGGGGTGGTACTCGAAAGCTTGAATACCATGTACGTACACTAAGCCCGGTCAGTGATGTTGGACTGCTAAGTCCCGCACATCACGCTATAAGAGACGCAATTACGCATGATCTCTTACGCATGCATATGATATGATATGCTACAATATGTGTGATGATATGAGTCATATGATATGAACAATTTGTAAACAATATGAATGGATAAATATACTTTATTTTATTTGGGTGAAATCTGATAAAAATATCATTTAATTAAGCTACGGAGCTCGGAACGGTCGACCGTTTGGAACGGCAGTCGACCGTGCTTTAATTCAAATTGTCGGATTCCGGTTTACCGTGACGGTCGACTGGCTGAAGATGAATAACTTCGGCTGGGCTAGCGGCGGTCGACGTTCGCCGACGGCGGTCGACCGTTCTGCTGACAATCGTGGTCTGTTTCGAAGTTTAATACGACGGTCGACCGTTTGGGTCTGTGAATCTTTCTCTTGATATTTTGAGTGTTCAAAATACTTCTTTAAGTCTTTTAAACACCTTTGATTAACATATACATGTTGTTGGGTTGATTTCAAATGTTTATATATACTTATGTTTATATATTAACTTTATGAATTTGGTGTATTTTGGTCTTAACACATAGATGACATATATATGCTTCACATATATATTTTGGAATGATTTCAACCTATGGATTAATATATATGTTCATGTATGTATGTGATGAATGATTCGAAAAGCCTAACGCAAGGGTACAGACCTGGAAATTATTGGTCGAAACCTTACGGATGAGCGGGAGTGGAAACAACATCGAAGTTCGCCAACTTTGTCATTTACGTCACAATTGGACAGCCTGCCGTATTTTGGGCATATCTCCATCGTTTCTTCACGGAATTGCAAACCGTTTGATTTTGTGGATTTCTAAGATGTAAGGCTATAACTTTCGTATAGAAAGTATTTCGAGTTAACAAATGTAAGATAGCGTAAATCGGACCTGAAGTCAAAGGATAGTTGCTGTCCAGGATTTCGGATATGTCGGTGAACAATGATTTCGACGATTAACTCATTGACTTCAATATTCCAACACCGAACCTTCTCCATGATACCTTCTCGATGTTCCTAATAATCGTTAGAGAGTTTATGGTAAGTGTTTGGAATGAAACAACATGGATATGGTGAGGAAACATAGCTAACCCGAGGAGCTCGCCACCACTGGCGCAGTCCCGGTATTTTAGCCATATCTCCTTCGTTACTTAACGAAATTGCGAGCCGTTTGTTGGGCTGTATTCGTATCGTCCGGGGCTACAACTTTGGTTCAGAAAGTATGTCGAGATAATGGATGGAAAATTACAGAACTTACGTAGAAGTTGATGCTGCGTTTGGAACTCAAGATTTGGAAACCATGGATGGTTTCTTCTTGTTTCTTCTTCCTTGAACCATCTATGGAGGAGGGTGTTTTCTTCTCTCCTTGAAGTTTCCGACAGTGAGAGAATGGAGAGGGGAGAGATGAGATGATGGTGATGATGGTGGAACATGATGATGATGTTATGGAGTGGTTTTGGGAGTATTATAATGAGAAGATTTTGGACTATCATGGCATATTGGGTGGCTTTGTAGACTTTAAGAGATTTCCTAGGATTTGTTGTGAAGAGGGCTGCTTGATTGAGTAGTGTTTGGGGATTTTAAAATATTCCCCTACTCCGTAATTGATAAACTGACTAAAACGATACGCGCTTTTTCGTCCAAACTACTCCGAATTGAAAACGGATTGTGTTTTTGGAATGAGACTGTCAAAACTAGAATTTTGACATAATCAAAATATTTTTCTGAGAACTTTTATTTTTCTCAATGTTCGGGTGTGTCTCAGTCATAAATTAATTTTATAATATGAATGAGATATAAATATATGGATTAAACCCAAAAGATAAATATGGTGTTGTCAAGTATCCGAGATTAATATTTCTAATCTTATGAAATTACTTTTGAATTGAGTTTATTTTATGGGTCAAAGTTACAAATTTTAATATTTAAAATCGTCATAGCTTGAAACATATAAATCAGATTGATTCATAAAATGTTCTGTTGGATTCGTCTCCTCGAGACATATCCATAAAAATAAGTTTTTAACAAAAAGTCTTTATTTTCAAAATCCATTTATTTTTAGTCAAACGTACAAATATTCCTTATTGGATAAAAACTACTTTTGTTTTATAATAAATTTTATGGCATTACAAATACAAAGCAACAGTATCAAATAAATGTATTGGTAGCCCCTCAAGGCTGGTCCAAACAAGGATGACAGGGGAATCGGCACTAGGGTCAAAGTCATGTGTCCAGCGGAAAACTTTCAAAGTAAATCCGTGTATCTTCCAGTATTTTCTAAGCAAGCATCGCAAGAAATCCTTCTCGGATTCAAAATTGATCAAAATATGAGAGTCATCTAGCAAACTTACTGCATAATCCTTTTCAAACGCTATGCGCTCAAAGGCCTTTCTAGTGGAGGTAAGGCTTGGTCTTCCTTTGATGAAACGCCGAACAATTGTTCGAGAGAATTTAGAGGATAGCGTGAAGACATCCTCTTCTGTGAATGAAATTGCTGGTTGGCCTTTAAATTTGCTCACAGGTTTGAAAACTCCTGTATCTGCAATTTCACAGAAGGTGTGTTGAGGAAGAGATGTGGACATGGTTGGATACAGTTCGCCGGACCGCCATAGTGGCGGTCGGAAACCTAGCCGTAGAGCACAGATCTAGTGCGAGAAGACATTTTATATATATATATATATATATATATATATATATATATATATATATATATATATATATATATATATATATATATATATATATAATGGCAAGATTCTTTTGGGCTGGAAATAGAGATAAGGCGTACCACTGGAGGAGCTGGGACTATCTTTGCAAAGCATTGAAGAATGGGGGGCTCGGTATAAAACGAATGGACCTTCTACAAACTGCCTTCAACACCAAACTATGGTGGGAATACAAATATAGTAGTTCCCTTTGGAAAGATTTTCTGGTGGCTAGGTATCCGAAGGGGCTCCAGGGGAGAGTTTATCAACACTATTCCCCTACATGGAAAATCATTGTGGACATGGAACATAGATGGAGTTACTTAACTGGTGACGAAATACAGGAAAAGATGTGCTCCAATGGTTTATTTAAAATCAAGAAGGTTTACGAACTGATATAGGAAGACGGCTCTCACCGTTGGTCCTCAAATTATACATGGCAGCCGAAGCAGTCTGGTAAAATCTCTATGTTTCTTTGGAAACTAACTAACCACTGCTTACCGTTTCCTGAAAACCTCAAAAGATTTAATGTTAATCTTCCCTCAATGTGTCCCTTCTGTAAGAATGATATCATCAGTCGCTTGCATACTCTTTTTGAATGCCCATGAATTAGACATATCTGGAATCATTTTTCCTCTTTGCTTGATGTTCCCCCTACACAAGGAAGGGGAATTCTTTCATCTCTATTCCATTGGTGGCTTCAAGCTAATGATAACTCCATCTTTGGAAAGCTTATTGGTGTCATTCCAGGGATCATTTGCTGGAATATTTGGAAATCTTTTAACAACTATTTGTATGATGGAGAGCAGCCTGTCACAATCATAACCATACAGAGGATTACCTTTGATATTTTTAACTGGAGCAGCAGTTTAGCGGGCAGCAAGTTGGCCCAAAATAATGACACCCTCATTACTTTGGGTCTATCGCCTCTTTTTAATAAAAAGATTAAAATCGAATGCTCTTTGCCTTTCTGGGATGTCAATATCACATATCTCCATGTTGCATTGACGCCTCAATTATGAATGGAAAAGCAGCTGGGGGAGCGATCCTTAGGAATGGCAAAGGAACTTTCATGGCTAGCATCACAACCAATCTGACCTCTACAGACATCTTCGCAGCTGAACTTGAAAACATTATCAATGCAATCCAGTGGGCTCAGAAAAAGGTAACTACTCCTCTCATTTTCCATACCGATTGCAAAGCAATTACTGAGGCATTATACACGGACAGAGCTTGCATTAGCCCAACTCTCAAAAAGTTCAAGGATCTGGTTCAGGAGACGAATCTTATTATTAAGCACGTTCAAAGAGATTTCAATCAAGCGTCACACCATCTCGCTAGATTTGCTATTATGTATTCCCAATTTGTTGAAACTCTACATTTTTGTTGTTTGCCTAAAGTGGTTAGAGGCTGTATTAAACTGGATGTATCAACTCCCCTGATTATCAATAAATTACGCTTTAATTTTATATATATATATATATATATATATATATATATATATCACTTCTAGCTTGAGAACTATACTTATTTATTATAGGTATTGGTGGTGACACTATAATATGTTTAGTTTTCAACCTACTTACCCATGCCAACACTATGATATCTTTAGTTTTCTACATATCCTTGTTTTTTTGCAAGATGAAGCAACACAATATTACTTTGTAATACGATATAATTTTTACCCACATGTTTAACAATTTTTGGGCTTAGACAGAGCTACAATGCTTGCAAAATTAATTTAGTTTTTATGCTTTATATCAATGATTATAATTTAATCCATTCTCTTATCTGACTAAAATACAACATTTAACACTATTGTTTCCTCTTTTAAATAATTTTCAAATATGTACAAAAGTTTGAAAAAGATAATTGATAGTATATTACTTTAGTTTTGGTTTAAAATCCTCCCTCAAGTCCTAAAACCTTTCATGTTTTGATATTTTTTGTCAAACAGTGACACTTTTTTACCATAAACTAAAAATAATATAAATAAACAAATGATATAAAAATTGATATATCAAAACTATATCCTAATATAAACCCAAGTATATTGAATTTATATTATAATTAAATATACTATTCTCAAAATTTATGGTCAAAGAGTGTCACAATTTGACTAAAAGTGTCAAAACAAGAAAAGCTTTTAGGATCAGCAGGAGTAAGATATTTCATACGAACATATTTTCTAAACTTTCATTACTTACAATCTCCCATGCTTTGAGCTCAAATTGACCGATACTACTATGAATATCATACAGTTTAGCCTTATCGATGATGTTTGGTTTAAAGTCTATGCTCAATGCTTAAAACAAAATCTTACCATAAACTTCTTATAATTTTGAGAAAATGAATTTTTTATATCATCAAACATATTATAGATGATTATTGAAGTATTCAAAACTGCATATGTATTTGTAGAGTCAAAAGTATGCATAAAAATACAATTATATGCTACCATTAGATATATTTAAATTAGTACCCATGATAATAAATTAAATTTATTGATAAAGTATAACAATACATTACAAAACTTCTTAACTCAAAACCAACATGCTACACTTTGAACAATACAAAACTAAGACACGTAAAACAAATACATGAAACAAGTTCATAATAGTATATAACACTAAACTTTAATCAGACACTTGAATGTGTGCATCGCACGGGGCAGTGCTAGTGTGTGTGTGTGTGTGTGTGTCTATATATATATATATATATATATATATATATATATATATATATATATATATATATATATATATATATATATATGTGTGTGTGTGTATATATATATATATATATATATATATATATATATATATATATATATATATATATATATATATATATATATATATATATATATATATATATATATATATATATATATATATATATATATATGTATGTATGTATGTATGTATGTATGTATATGTATATACATACACACTCATACACACACACACATTATTGTTATCTTTAAAAATCAAGTAATTCTAACTAAGTATAAATATTAAAATGCAATTGTATATAAGAATACATTGGTGATTATGAAATGATTTGTATTGTTAATGATATCTAGAAGAACTCTAAGATATACCCATTTGGAATTGATAATGACTATTATGGATACCTAGAAGAACTCTAAGATATATCCATATTAATGTTGGTTTCTAATACTATCTAGAAGACATCTGAGATAGATTAGAAATAGGCCTTGCGTGTATAACTATAAATATTCGGTGGGCTGGGTAAAAACGTACATACGGGATCTATAGACCAAACTTGAGGATCACTCGTTTAGGGATACCACCCAACCCAATAGTGAGCATTCCGCTGTTTGGTTTCTGGTTGACCTTAATCGAAGGTAAGTTTAATATTTTCAAAACCTCTTTTGAAAATTTGTATCTTAAACTAAGCCTTGCTTGAGGATTGATTAGAGTACCTTAAACTGGCATATAGTTGAAGAACATTTAACTAGAATTCGTTTAAGAGTTGGTAAACATTATAAGAGATTGGCCTTAGACTAAGAATAGTTTAAGGATATTGATGAATGTTGAATAT